AGACTGAAATCAGGAAATAAAGAAAAACAAGTATGGGTACTCATCGATAGTGGTTCCCAACATTCATACATATTGAAGACAACTGTAGAAGAGATGGGTATGGAACCAAATGGTAACAGATTTTTGATTCACACACTTTTTGGAGAATTACAGACAGAGATGAAGGAACATCTTCAGTATGAACTTGACATGGAATCCTTAAACAATACATTTTCCTGTAAGATAGAAGCTCTAGCTCAGTCTATTATTTGTGGAAAAATTTCACAATTAAAGCAAGGAGAATCACGGGAAAAAGAATTAAAGGAAAAGAAGATATGGCTTAATGATTATGGAGAAATTTCCCTGATATCGAGATATTTGTTTGGAGCTGATTTTTATGGTCATTTGTTTATGGGGAAAACTCATTATCTTAAGTGTGGCTTAGTTGCATATGAAATGCTTTTTTTTGGTTGGCTGATTATGGGAAAAATTTTTGATGAGAATCCTGTTAGCACCTCTGGAAACTTAATCACCTCTCTACTGATAAAAAAATGCATCAATTACTGATCTGTGGAGCTTGGATACTCTAGGCATCAGAGATCATGTTGAAATAAAATCTAAAGAAGAGACATATTAATTAGTTATGCAACAGTTCCAGCGAACAGTGAAAAGTGATAAAGAAGATCGTTACATCGTGCAGCTGCCTTTGTTAGAAGAACAGGAGATTTTGAAGGAAAATAAATTGGTTGCAAAGTGCAGGTGAGCATCAACTGGGGAAAAACTTGTTAAGAAAGGCAGATATGCAGATTATGATGCTGTTTTCCAGGAATGGTTAGCAGATAATATTATTGATAAAATACCACCTGAGGAAGAAAATAAAATCCCATGCCATTATTTACCCCACCGAGGCATTTTCAAGAAAAAGTCCACCACAAGCATTTGACCTGTTTTCGATGCCTCTTGTAGATCCGGTCATTCTCCATCTCTCAATGATGTTCTAGAGAAAGGACCAAACCTCTTACAGAAAATCTTTCCACTACTACTAAGATTTCGGGAAAGATCGATTGGCATCATTTCTGACATAAGAGAGGCCTTCTTACAAGTTTCTGTTGTGAAAGAAGATCCAAGATTTTATGGTGGGAGAATTTTGAGAAAAGAAAATTGAAAATTTATCATCATAAAAGGGTAGTCTTTGGACTCACATGCAGTCCATTCCTCTTAGCTGCAGTCATCAATTTTCATTTGGAGGAATGCTGTGATGATTTTCCAGAAACTGTGCATAAGTTAAAAATGCCTTTTATGTGGATAACTGTGTAATATCGGTATCTGATGAAAAGGAATTATTGCAATTTCTACATGAGGCTAAACAAATTCTAGCTTCAGCATGTTTTGACTTATGCAGATAGGAATATACTTCTTTAACAGGAGATAAAAAGGAAAAGGAATCTCCCATTCTTGGATTATTGTGGGACAGAAATAAAGATGTTCTTTTTTGTAACTTAGAAAATGTTTCCTTTGAGATAGAACCTGTAACAAGAAATATTCTTTCAGCTGTCAACAGTATTTTGATCCCATTGGAATGTTGTGCCCACTAACTATATGCATGAAGATGCTAATACAAGAAAGCTGGTGGTGTGGTGTATTTAATTATGGCAAAGCACACTAGGGCTATCTGCCTAAGGAGAGGGATGCCTTCGTGGAGGACTTTCTAAGGGAAACTGACTCATATACACGTTACATACGAGGAAAACCACGAAAACCCCCATGCAGCCAGCCCGTTCGTGGGATTCAAACCTCGGACCAAACTACCAGTGTTCAGTGACTTTACCGCTCGGCCGCTGGTGGGCCCAAGAAAGCTGGACTCTTAAATTAAGCTAGGATGAGGTATGTCTCGAAAGTGTTTGTAAAAGTTTCTCACTGTGAACGGAAGATCTTCATTTATTATTGGAAGTTAAAATTCCAAGATACGTTTATTTTGATAGTTCGTGAGATGGATTAATTCTTCACACTTTTGCAGATGCTACTAAATCTGCTTACAGAGCAGTTGTATTTCTTCGTAAAGAAAACAGTGATGAAGTAAAAGTTCATTTAATTCATGCTAAGAGCAGAGTTGCCCCCTTGATGAAAGCAACAATTCCCAGATTGGAATTATTAGCCTGTTGTGTAGAAGCATGCATTATATCTTATATTAGAAGAGAAATGAATTTGTCAGAAATCCCAACCACATGTTGGACAGATTCTTCAACCTCTTTGTTTTGGATTAAGAATGAAGATAATTGGAGTACTTTCGTTAGAAATAGAGTTAAATAATTTCGAAGTATCACTTCAGTGGACTCATGTAAACATATTTCTGGCAGTCATAATCTGGTAGACCTCCCATCCAGAGGTTGTTATACAATATTTCTCCTTACATTGAAATGGTGGGAGGGACCAGAATGGCTAGAGCAATCCAAACATGCACAAGATTTAATGTCATTAACACCTTCCATGTTTCTTCAATATAATAAGACAATAGAAATACCAGACTTAGATAACTTGAACAGTATTAATTTGATCAAAAGATACCGGTATCAACAAAAGTTACAGCAAGAGTTAAGAAGAAGATTTAGGTCTTTTGATTCAGCAGAATTTCAATAAGAACAGTCTGAAACAGGTAAGTGTCGGTGAAGTTGTTCTGGTTGAATGTGATAACAAAAAACGAATATTCTGGCCTTTGGGTATAGTTACAGAGGTATTTCCTGGAAAGAACAATCATGTGAGAGCAGTGAAAGTAAAAACAGAAGTAGGAGAACTGATATGCCCTGTCCAACGGTTATACCCTTTAGAGATTACTAATCCAAACATTTTATTTAGAGCCAAAGAACTTGAACGAAATTTCATGCCAATTGTTTCTGATAAAAGGAACATTCATCATAAATCTGAAAATGTTAAAAGGAACAGGGACTTTAAAGAAACTGATTTTGAATTAAAAACTAGATGTGGCAAAAATATTGTCAAACCTTGTTATAAGTGATTTTTTTTAAGTATATGTTCTATATTATTGTTTAATTTATATTATGAATGTATTGAGTACTATACAAGTCTACTGAGTAGAAAATTTTCATTTTTATTTAATGTTATAATTTTCAGAGACCATTTTAAGAACATACATACATACATATGTACAGACATAACAAAAGAATTTCCTCTGAATCCATTTTAAATCCTTTTTTTGCAACCCAATATGAAAAAAAAAAAAAAAAAAAAAAAAAAAAAGAGTCCTTTATTCTGTTCTCACATACAGACGTCACGCATAAGCATTGTTAAATTGTATTCAATAGCGGTGAGAATAGATATTTTCGTTGGAATATGATACGCAAAAATTTTCGTGATTACAATACTTACTTTACGTCACATAAGGAAATAAAAATGTTTTACAACTTCTAAATGGTAACCTGTAATTTACCCTATTAAAATTTTCTTAATTAAAAAAATGACAAGAAAAAAAAGTTTCAGTAATATGCAAAGACTGTCTATGGCAGAACCAAATTTCAAGACTTAAAAAACCCTTTTCCCAAAGAGAAAAAATTCACATAATAATAATTTCAAAGAGCATATGAAAAATTAATTTCGTCATATAAAAATACTTGCAATTTAGCTTATCCAGTAATGGGAATTTGTAATTCATATTTACATCTTCCTGTTCCTTTGATTGTAAAAAGTATCTGTTAAAACACAAACCTGCCTTTCAAATTGTATTCACACTTGTCTGAGGCCAACCAAATACAGTCTAAGTCTGAATTAAAAACTTGAAGTTAATTATATTGTTGCAAAATGCCGAGCTGCTGCAAGAAAGGCAGGATTGCCATATTTGATGTGAAATCACCCATTTGGTGACAAAATTGGCTATTTACCATAGACAGAGAGAGAACATTCTAGAACACATTCTTAGTAGTTTTCCTCGGAGATGTTCTTGAAAGGTTAGATAAAGCTATATTTACCCTACATGAAAGCGGGCAAAGTGAATCTTGAGTTCAGTAGTAGTGCTTTGTGTTCAGAGATTACCTTGAGAGGGACCGAAGAGAGGTGTCTGGAGCTGTACTTTAATGCTTTACCGTGAAGCTGTCTTCACCATTGTAGCCTGAAGCCTGCGTTGCTAATTGTTTCAGCATGTTTATCGTAGTTTTTCGATGGCTGTAAATGTGTCTTTGGAAGTCTCTTGTGTAATAAACTGCATTTTTGATTCTTCATCAAATGTTGTCATCAATCACTCTAAATCCACAAACCCATAGAACGCAACAATACGTTTGGTAACACTGTTCATAAGATAATATAGAACTTTTATTTTTAACTAATTATTTCTGAAAAATACTTTTTGTGCTGAAGCACATTTTATCCCTGTTGGCTGGTTCAAAAATTTAATTTTGTATATTTAATAAAATGTATACATAATCAAAACCATCACAATCTGAAAACCTACTTTATTTGAATCAGTTTCAAACTTGAATTACTTATCTAAGAGATAACTAGTCACACAAGTTTTTGAAAATCACATATGCTTATGTGTTCATGAATATTTAGATTTAATTACAGATGAAATTCTTCATAAAATGAAAGAAATAGAAATCAATATAATTTCAAATAAAAATTTAATTAATTAGTTACACAGATGAAGCTGTGCTACTGCCTTTTTTCTATAATAATTTAGTAATAAAATAAAGACGAAATGAATTCAATTTCTGATACAAAAAATACTTTAAATTATTGGAAACAAATTCATTTTCAAGTCATCTTCCAGCTTGATCTATATTTAGTTGCAAATTAATATAATTATTTTTATTTTGAAATATAAATATGTTTATGAAAAAAATGAAAAATTCAATATTTATCTAATGGGAAAAACTGAAAAGTGAAGCTGTATATTTACAGAGATGCAGGCTGCTCACTCACTGATCATGAAAGCATGCAAGCCAAACAAACATCCGTTAACAATATTCTGATGTTAATTTAGGAACATATAATTTAAAAAAAAAACCACTCACCCTACGGCAAGAATGCGACCAGATGGAGCATAACTACAGCATAATGAATTTTCAATTACAGCAACAGCTTCAGGATTTTCTTCGGAAGCTATGTCCCAAAACCTTAAGTACCTAGAAATAATGAAAAACTATAAGAATGCATTATTTTGAAGCTAAGCAGACAGAAAGCAGTGCACATATATTTTGTTTTGTACCCATACATTTAAAGGTTCATAATTTAAATGTACTGTTTAAAGATTCATATTAAATGCATACAAAAATGCAAATTTATAATTGAAGTTTACAAATTTTTTTGATGCTTTGGTGAATTTATGTAATTTATTCTATATCAATGCAACTAACCCGAATCTCTTTTCCTTTCTTTTCTTTTTCTTTTCGCAGGGGCAGAGACATGACATGAATTTACACCATGTTAAATTATCATTAAATTTTTTGAATCATTAATTTCCTGTTATTTAAGTTTTAATTTCACTAAAATTATGGTATATTTCATTTCAGTCTTTTTTATAGTATGAAAAAGAAAAAAAAAAATTTTTTTTTTAATTTCAATATTTATTTATTTATCTACTTTATAGTATGCAACTTATACTTTTGTAGATTTTTAGCAAAAGTATAAGTTATACATTTAAGTACTAAGTCTGATATATCTCATTTTCAATCTTCAGTTTATCTATCTTTTAATAAGACTGCAGGCAATGGACATGTACCAAAGATTATGCCCCTCCATTTAGTCAGCATTTGATTGATCAAAACAAATGGTCCTTTCAAATTATAAACTGCAAATTATCTCAGTAAGACATACCTAGAAAATTATATCTCATTATTATTTTCTCAAAAATGGATTTACAAAGTGTCCAATAATTAATGTTTGCTACCTTGAATTCTTAAAATACATATTTTTTTGAAATAGCAAATGATCTTCACCATCTTTTTTGCAATAGCAAATTCTAAACCCTAAATTAATTTTAACTGGTTAAATATGGAAAAATGTAAATACAAAAATCTATTAAAACAAATTATAGAGCTGCTGGGTCCTTTTTTTATTTTTAAGGCATCACAAGTTGAGAAATTCTAACAATCACACAGCCCAAGTGAAAGAAAAATAGATTGATAACTATTGTAAGGATAAATAAAGATTGCTGTAATAAGAAATAAGAAACAAAAATACCCATCATCAGCAATGGTAGCAATATGAGCTCCATCAGATGAAAAAGAAACATCTCTAATCCATGTTCCATTATCTCCACATGCAAAGATGAGATGAGGTGAAGGATGAAGGTGACTGCATTAAATAAGCATGGAAAAAATATAGCAAAAACATACTCTCAAATATAATGTTAAAAATTTATTATATAACATTAACAGCTAATATTAAAAACTTTTACACTTTTTATAAAAATAATATATTAAAAAATCTTCAGATAAATGAACTTATACTATAAACAATATGTCTGCTTTTGTATCTGTATGTATGTGATAATTTTTTCGTCCATAATAACTATTACATCAAACTTCCAAAAATTTCCATTTTCCATGTTTAAGTTTTCTGTTTTCATATAAAGATTTTCGATAAAACTGACAACAAGAAGTTGTATTTTACAGGAAGCTCATAACAATTTTTAATGGACAAGAAGTGGTGGTATTTCACTTGAAGCCCATTAACAGTTTTTAATAAAAAACTGTAATAAAATACAATCCAAAGCTTTTCAGTTTTAGTATTTAAGACAGGTTAATAGGTACAACATATTTGATATGGAATAAAACTGATAATAAACCAGAAGTGATATTTTATAGAAGCTCTGAAAAGACTTGTAAAAATGCATATTATATAATAATTCTCAAAATTGGAATTTAAAATAGATAGCTATCGAAGTTTACATGTTACAAGTTTAATGCTTATAAAGGCGTTCAACAAATTCTTGGAATTACGCTAAATGTCTCAAAAATAAGGTTATTATGAAGACAAGTTCTTGTTATGAAGCACTTAATTAGCCTCAATCCTTAATTCTGCATTCGTTTCACTTTTGTGCTGAATCATTTTTCAAATAAAAGTACGCTGCTACCAAGTTTTATAACCACATATAATTTTTAAGAAATAATATAAAAAAATATAAATAATACAGTGAATATAAAAAGAAATGTATGGCAACACTTAACACTCTCAGGAATTATATAGATATGGTGCTTTTAAAAATTTTGTGATCATTATGCCATTGATATGTGAATCAGAAACACTGTATGACTAGATGTTAGAATACAATCAGTGCAACATTTACAAATCAAAGCATAAGAGCTGATGTATATACAATTATTACAATGAGCACATACAATTATTACAGCCCATTATATGGATGAACTGAATATAAATAAATGAGTGTTAATAATTAAAGTTTAAAAAGAAAATAGATTTTATTTACAAAATTATCTGGAAATTATAGTTTACCTAAAGCTTGCTGCTACTGGTCATGTGCTGGGGAAATCAGATATTTTTTTTTTTTTTTTTTTTTTTTTTTTTTTTTTTTTTTAACATATATTTTTCACAGATGTATCTATTGTGTAAATGCACAATTAAATGAACTAAGTAGGACTCAATGATTTTACATAGACTCAATTCAAGCCAGCTAGCACTGTTTTTGATAATGGTAGCATCTAGGAGTTAGACAAGCATTAACTTAATTAATAATTAATTATTTACATTCCCCCCCCCTTTTTTAGCTCCAAGTGACCCAGAAGTTATATTAATTTTGTTTTGGCATTTTGTGCAGGAAACCTTAAATGACTGTTTCACTTTTCAAATTGTAGCCACCAAATATTATCACCCTGTATTATATTTAAAGAAATTAAATAATGAAGAATCTGCATAAATGCATGCATGTTTCTCTCATTGTGATAAAAGAATGGTACCTCAAAACATCCAATTTTGAATAACATACATCTCCACCTGAATATCGGCATCTTGAATTTGGAATTTGTTTTATTATGCATTTCATATTTTATAAAGCATTTATGAGTTTTTGATTAAGAAACTCGACGATTTCAAAGCAAGCAATGACAACACTGCATGAAAAAAACATTTTTATCTCCAGCCTGCAAGACTGTGTATTAGAAATTCTAAAGATATGTTCATTTTAAAATCATTTTGCGATAATGCTGTTGAATTGAATTTTATGGTTTATGTGCAAAGACCATGATATTTAATAAATAAAGGTAATACACAAAATGTTAAAAAAAATGCTTCTTTTGGGGCATAATATAAAATTTGAAAGCTTTCAGTTTTTTTTTTTTTTTTTTTTTTTTTTTTCCAAAAAAGATTGAAAGCTATTTGCTGAAAACAGTTAAGCTTGCCATAAACAATATACTGTACATTCTAGCTTATAATGCACACCAATGTATAACACTCACATATAATTTCAAAGTAAATTTTTTAATTTCTAAGTATGTTTGCAGAATAACATGCACCCTTTTCTTTATGAAAAAACCTGAAAGATACATATGTGATGGTCTTCTCTTTTGAAGTCATTCAATCAAAGATTTTCTCCACGCTTTTCACAATGTTATATTAAATTGACAAGCAATAAGAGGAACAATATGTGATTGGGTGGGGGAATGCTCGAGGGATTAAATTATTCTGCAAAAAGCATAGGTTATATTCAATGCAAGCGTATAGAAGAATATTATTCTAGGGTTTCTGAAAAAGGGGACATAAAAGGGATAACAATGCACTTCCGACCTGAATTAATTCTCAGAATTAGGAGTTAGGTGTTTTCTCTTTCTGCTGTCTTTTGAAGTAAAGGCTTTAGTAAATCGCATTTGCTTTAGATGAAATACAGCTGATCAAGTATTCCTTTTATAGTAAATATAGCTTCTGCCAAACAAAACAAACACAGTGTTGGTTTTTTGCAAAAGAAAATGGAAATCGTGCTGCAGTAAGGATGTTTGATGCTGCCAAAAGCTCCACATGTGAGTGAAAGAAAAATGAAAGCAAAATAATTAATATGCTTTACATAAAGAAAATTAACCGATAATGAAAACTTTTAAGTTCATAAAGTGTATCATTTTGTTTAAATAGAAATCTAGTTTCTGTGTCCCCTTATTTTTAAATGTATAATTTTTATATATGGCGTATTATGTGCATCTGTAAATTTTGATTTTAGATTCTGTATTAAAAGTGCATATTATATGGCAGAATATATGGTAATCAGCTGTGTTTATGTATAGCTCATAAAATACTTTTGTTTTTAAAAATTTGTACTTTTATCCATGTTTCATAAACTATTCTGATCTCATTTTATTTTCTAAATCTAAATAAAAAAGGTGGAAGAAAATGAAGAATGAAAAGAACCGCAGCTAGTGAATAAAGTTAAAAAATGTTTTTGGAGAAATGGAATAAAATAGTAGTGATAATCATTTATACAGGTTTACAAACTAGTATTAAAATAAACAACCACTAATCTTTCATCCAAAATTATTATCAGAGGAATAACAAGTTAAAAATATCAAGTAAAAATGTTCAGCTATTACTATATTACAATCAGGACTAGGCTGAAGCCCAGGTACATGGGCATTCACCTTTGATGCACTCTTCAGAGGGTACCAGCTAAATTGTTCTTAAAAGCATCAATTAAATAAAGATTTATTTTGCTTTAAATGATTAATATGCTTAGTTTCCATGATGCAAAACTGCATTAACTGCCTAGGATGCCAGAAATACTGCAGTAAGGACTGACCACAATAACTGTACAAGTATTTGTATGAAATTCATATTACCCAAAATATTTGAGCATTTGACCAGAGTGAGAATCCCATAAAATGACACGTGTGTCCCACGATGCTGAGGCAATAAGGCAACTATCAGGAGAAAAGGCACAGGCTACAACGTCATGATGATGTCCTTGAAGTTTGGCTCTCACTTTTAATGTCTTCATATCCCACACATACACCTATGTTTCATAACAAAATTTCATCAAAAATTTCTATTCGTGTAGAAGATAATATTTGAAAAATTAGAAATTATTAACCATCAAATTAATAAATATCTAGGAATACAATTTACAGTTTTAGCAAACTAACTGTGATACTTAGGATTACAATGAATTCCACATATTACTACTGATAATGGTACAAAAATCAAATTTACAAAAAAAAAAAAAAAAAAAGACCTAATGTAGGAAATCAGTATTTTGTGTGTCCGCCATGCTGAGCAGTGAGAGCCTGTACACATTGTGGCACTAAATCATACATGTTTTAAATGTAATCTAGGGAAATGACATTTCGTATGGTTTCGACTTGATGCCAAAGTTTAATCTTTAGTGTGTGCTCCACCAGCTGTACAAGCAAGTTGCTAACTGATGAGCTACCAGACACGCTCAGTGGGTGACTTATCTGGGGAATAAGCAGGACATGGAAAAAGCAAAACCTATTGTGTAAAAAAGGTTTGTGCAGTCTGATAAACATGTGCATGAGCTTTATCCCGCTGAAATACAGCACCTAGAATGTGTCGAAGAATGCAGAGGACCTCTGCCTCCACAACTTCTCTTATGTAGTGATCGCTATTGAGGTTGCCTGCAATCTGCACTAGATGGAATTGACAATTATATTCACCAGCTCACCACACCAATATGCCAGGGATCTGTATGATATGATGCTAGATAATGCACTGTAAGGGCAGATGTTTCCCTCTGTAACATCTGACGCATACTCTTTCAACACTGTACTCCAGATTAAAGTGAGATTCATTGGAGAAGACAACTTATTGCCACAGGGCATGGCCACGCACTGTGTTGCCATGACCATTGAATTTAGAGGCATCTGTCATTCAGCGACAGGGAAATCTGGCGTACAGAAACTCTTTCACACAGTTTATGCTGCAGCAGACAGCGACAAACCGTGGAGCTGAACAACGTAACACCTGTAGTCATGCTCCAATGCTGTGCTAACACACGAGTATCTGTATGATCCATCACATCCATGCAAATGACGTGTGTGTCATCCCATGCCATTATGCTATTGCGTGCTCCACTGCCAGGATTTCGACTCGTTTGGTTCTCCTTTGTCCATTTCTTTCAAACATGCATCACTGTTGTGGCATTATGGTGCATGCCGGCTGTAACTACTTGAAAGTCAACCTTCTCGACTACCGACGATGTGGCCTAATTCAAGTTCTGTTAGTTACTGGTATGGCACCCGCAGCATGACCACTAACTAAATGTTCACCACAGACAGAGGACGATACACAAATTTCAACACAACTTTACAGTTCTTTATATATATGGAACAAACGACTAGTTCTCATTCCACGCATGCGCAATCACTTTGTTATCTCTAATCATCTGCATGTTTTATCTCACTTAACATTTCCCGTAAATTTGGTTTAGTTTGTATAATTCCTTTATGGTATAGCAGTTTTCAGAAACATAGTGTATGTATAAGTTTAGTTTCCATAAACTCATTTTATTAGAAAAATATAGTTTTCTCTTGTTGAAGTTTGGGGTGAAATTTTAACTTAAAATATATTAAATGTAAACTGCAAATAAGCACTGTGTAGTACTGATTCATTTTCTTTATACCCCCTAACTGCATTTATTCTTTTGTTTTGATGAAAATTAAATAATCTTTAACAACATATTTTAAAATGCAAAAAGTTTCAAAACTATAATTAAGATGAGTTTTAAAATGATTCAAATTATACATGTATACTAATTACATCCATTCAGTAATCTAGCCCTAATTAATATATCTAATGATGCATTAAATATAACAAATTTTAACTACAAAGCAAATTGATTGCATATATTGAAATAAACATTAGAGTCATTTATATATTTTTCATAAATTAATATTTCCTAACATAGTACATTCAGAATCATCATCCTAAAAACTGAAAAAATATGCAATAATTCTTACATATGAAATCCAAACTAAAAATATTTAGCACTGATTTTGAAAGTTTGAAGACATTATCAGATTTTTGACAGCAACTGAAATTAATATCAACAGAAACTTGAAGTTGGAAAATAAAATTTAAAACTCACTAATTTACACATTCCAACTGATAATAATGTTTTAGCATCAGGAGACCAACAGCATGAATAAATGGGCTTGTTGTTCATTTTAAGAGTTTGAAACATATTTCCATCTTCATGTAGATCCCATACTTTTAAGGTACCATCGTAAGATGCTGATACAAGGACTAGATTACCAATAGGACTGAAGTTCAAATGAGATACCATATCATTATGGTCCATAAGTTCCAGAATTAATTTACCTAAAGAGAAAAAAGTTTACTACATAACAAATCGCACACACAAATATATACCAAAAAAGAAGAGAGAGGGAAAGGAAAAGAGACATTTTTATACAATAAACTGATAACTTTATATTAAATTACATTTACATCCATTAATGGATATTTTGTTATGAATGCTTGAGTGACTGGAAATAATATGACACAATAACAAGTAGAATGAAGTAGTGGCAATAGTGAAGCAAAATGCAATGTTTTCAAGATGAAAGTTGTGTTAAATGTATTTTCTCTTCTGTTTCATTGCTTGTTTTGAGTTCCAGTTTGTAAAATTATCTCCACCAAGTTACATACGAATCATATCACGTGAATTAATTTTGAAATGACACAGTTTAGATAGATTTATTATCAACAGTTACTATTTTTAAATGGAAAGGGAAATAAACAAATTAAATTGGAGAGTTTAGGAACTATTGCAAATTAAGATTCAAATTTTAATTTACAATTTTTTAAAATTATTACCTTAAATTAAACATCTATAGATTGATTCAGTCTGATTTTTTGTTTTGCAAAACTGTGAAAGAATTTTTAAATTCAGAATTAAAAAAAAAAAATAAAATCACCTGTCAAGACATCCCATGTTCTGATACGCCCATTCACATGACCTGTAGCAAGTACCAAATCTTTGGAAGAACTGAGACGAGACCAGAATGGTGGAGAGGAACGTAGGCCATAACCATAGGTAGATAACCCAAATGCTAATGAACGAATGAGATGTCCCGTGTGTATCGAGATAGTGTTGCAACCAAAGCAGTCTTCAACTTCATGTTTGCTGTCAACAATAATCCTGTAATTGATATGATATAATAGCATGTTTCACTTGAATTTAGTTCTTACATAATCACTTTTTAACCTTCTAACATTTTCTGAGTCAATTATGAAGAAATTACTTGCCCAATAATGAATTCCTTTTTATTCTGTGCCTAGACAGACTATTGCTTAAGCTTATATAGCTACGATATGCAGTCTAAACAGCTTCAGTTTATATTTCTTTGATGCTTTGAGTTTCTTAAGCATCAAGATTAAAAGGGGTGATGAGTCATTACTCTGTCTCCAATTTCTTAGGCACAGAAGACTAACATTTTAATGTTATTTACTACAGCAAAAGTTATCTGTCTCAGGAGAGACAGCTACATGAAAAATTTTTGATAATACAGAAGGAAAATACAAAAGCTTTATTGCTCATAACTTATTCGACCACTGGAATCAAGTTCAGGTTGAAGAACGAGTGTTAAATGGTTTTATCTACTTGATACTGAGCGAAACCCAGCATTGCAACAAAATTCTAATACTAATAATTACACAAAAAAGAGATATATGACGAGATGAGAAAAATTATGAATGTAGAGAAAAATGTGCATCAATTGGAGCATTGTTATAAAAAAGACTTTAAATGTGATTAGAGTGTAATTATTAAGAGAGATCTTAAGGGTATTTCACAAATAAAAGAGAAACTAAACAAGCAACTAGTCTATTTGTTTTTACAGCAGTAAATTTTCCTTTGAAGTAAGTATATTAACACTAAAATTTCCATTAAATAATTCTCAATATATAAATTTCTTAAAAGATCTTCAATAATTTAACACTGAAAAGGAATAATAGGAATTCTTGAAATAGCATCTAATATATTTACAATACGTTTCCAACATATTTTTGCTTCAATTTATGCCCCATCATCTTAGGTTGAAATCAAGAAAAATTTTAGAATAAACCCTCCCATTTTTTGGTACTTTTATTTAGTGATTTCACCTAGTTAGAATTATTCTATGACTTAAATTTATAATACACACTACAAATGTGTTCTCAATTACGTTAATAACATCAAGGTTTATACAATAGTTAATCTTCCCAGAATGCATTTCTGGGCAAGTTTTCTAAATTAAGCTTAATTGCTTTAACTTAGTTCTTAAAACCTATATGTTTTATTACTCAAGCAGCTCAAAGCATTCCAGCTAGATTGACTGGTAAATATGCTGTACCGCATAAAGCAGAACTATTTTACGTTAACATCACTTTTTATAAACATAAAGACCATTTTCAAGTTTTTTTTATTAATAAGGTAGAAGCCAAACTCAGCTGGCAATATATTTTTCCCATAAATAGGCTTGCCAGATTTCAGAAATGTTCAACCGGAACACCGGAATGCCCCCCGGCATCGCGGGTATTCAAGGGTCCACACCCTTAGCAGGTTTTTGGAGTGTTTTAGAGGGTCGTTGATTCTCAATGTTATGAATAAATGGTTACTTAATAGGAACCTAGACCATAAGTAATAATAAATGGCACAAGCATATAAATTTAAACATTTTATTCCTTACATACTAATATTTATAAGTTACTTAAGTAAGAAAAAACACTTTAAATGAGAAATAAAAAATTGAACAATATTTACATGTACTTTTCATTGGCTAGGACGTTTTTTTAGAAAATCTTTTTTTGGTTTTAATCTTGTAAAAATCTTCACAAGCTAATACGATATTACTTTTACATGTCATCAAGCCTTTAACCATAGATTCCTTTATCAAAACCCTATCATTAGTCCATGCATTGTTCATTAAAGAAAATACTTTCTCAACTGGTGCTGACGTCCCAGGTAAGCAGAAGACATACTCAACAATCTTGATCAGATTGGGGACTACCATATGATTCTCCTTGAAGTGATCAAACAGCCTGAGCCATTTTTCTTCACTTGAAGTAATCACATCTCTGGTAGACTGTTCTTGCTTCCACTGTTCCCAATTTGACTGCAAATACTACTTAGCAAGCACAACTTCATCAAACAGTTGATCAGTGTTTATTTGCATATCGGGTACATCAAGAACAGATGACCGCTGTTAATCATTTAAGCAGAAGTTTCGGCGTTTTCCAATTAACAGCATTTATTTTGGTGAGATTGACCCAAGAAAACTGTTCAGCATTTCCAAAACTATTCTCCGAGAGGTCCAAGTATGCAATGCATCTTTTATAAAGGCCATCAAATTCTTCTTTCCCACTGTTACGGACTTGCTCGTCTAGATTCCTGTAGATGTTCTTTTCGCCCACAGGAATAAAGTTTGGGCGTTTCTTTCTGTCAGGTTTCTTTTGAGAGCTTTATGAGCTTCAGCAACCTCAAAAGCTGTAGTATTATCTTTTCCCATTACCAGGATGTCAAAGAGTGCAAGCTGGCCTTGTCAAAGAGTGCAAGCTGGCCTTGTCAAAGAGTGCAAGATGTCCATGGACAAACCGCAAGTACAATTCGCCCGTTAAATCAGTAAACAAGTTTTTTATTCAAAATCGTAAAAAACAACCTTATATTTAGCGTAGGTATAATGAAACACTCAATCGATTTCGAGGGCAGCTAAAGGTCCCTCCTCATCAGGAGAAAGAAATACAAGAAAGAAGAGAAAAGAAGAAATAGGAATCACAGAAACACGTGGTGCTTATCTGCACTGCACGTGGTTATAACTAGATTTTTAATCAGAGTTGCACTGGCCGCCTACTTTTACTGAGCCAGGCTGTCTGATCAAGCATAAAGAAATATTAGCGAAGTTAAAATAGGGAGCGAGGGCAAATGCACATTACGCTCAAAATCTGAACTTCAAATAATGGAAAGCAACCACTGTACGGATTTTTATACCCTCTGGTAGTACCAAGTGCGAGGAGGTAACGCCATCTATCGGCAAAAATAATTGAATTAAGACAGTTAGAATTTTAAAGGCATTAGGAAGGACTGGATTGGACTTCAAATCATTAACTAAACTTTTTAAATCTTTGTGAATGTGAAAAGCCTCAAAGAAAATCCAATTCGCCTATGGAAGAAGCCTTTTGGATGATTTTTGCAGACCCAAAATCAAAATTATGGTTAAAAGTCCAGCTATGATACGCTATTGAAGACTTGTTAATTTCCCCTTTTTTTGACATAAGATTCATGTTCCTTGATACGAAATTTCAACGCTCTTTTTGTTTGGCCAATATATCTTAAAACCACACTGACATGATATACTATAAATTCCCCAAGAATTCAAGACAGAAACGCAATCTTTAGAATCGAAGGGTGGTGTGAATTTTATTAATAGGGGAGAAACCGACTTGAAAATTGAATTTCTGGAGAATCCGTGCAATTTTATAGCTAACAGAAGGATAAAATGGAAGCACGACAAGGTCATTGATATTATTTCTAACAGTGGAATGTCTTCTTTGATGGGAATCTGAAAATTTTTTGACGGCTTTATCAATAATCACGGGAGAAAATCCACGGTCAATCGCAACTGCTCTCAAATAATTAAGTTCATGGTGGTAAGCAAAGATTCAGAGGAACAAATTTTAGCGCGCGGGAAAACATAATAGTAAAAAGAAGCCATTTTTTGCTTAACAGGGTGGCATGACTTGGCATGGGGTGGTAAACAAACTGCAAAGGGTTTACGGTACACAGTGGTGCTAAAATCGGTTTCATTGCGGATTATAAGAATATCGAGGAAGGGGAGGGAATTGTTGGATTCAATTTCAAGAGTGAATTGGATGGCTGGATCAATTGAATTCATAATAGATAGAATCTCGGATAAATCCTCTTTATAACCGTCAAAAAGTGCGAAAGTGTCGTCAACATACCGAATCCAAAGACGAAAAGATAATTTATCAAATAATTTCATCTCAAAATAGTGCATATAAATGTCAGCAAGTACCGGACTGAGAGGATTACCCATAGCCAATCCTTCAACTTGACGAAAATATGCATTTTGGAAAACAAAGTGGTTTGACTTAGAGAAACTTAGTAAGCGAAACCAACTCATTAATTTCAGTATGTGTGAAGTGAAATTCCCCGAAGCCTAGTTTCAAGACAATTTAGTGCTCCTTCGACCGGAACATTAGTAAACAATGATTTGACATCAAATGAAACCATAATGGAACGAAGTGGGGAAATATTTTTAAGTTTATCATGACTTCAACAGAATTTTTTACAGTGTGAATATTGTTATCAAGTAGAGGAGAAAATCTGGAAACTAAATATTTGGCCAAAGGATATGAAGCAGTGCCTATGTTGGAAACAATTGGTCGAAAAGGAATAACCGGTTTTGTGGACTTTTGGAAGAGCATAAGTCTAGCGCAATTAGTAATAGGCGGAATAAGTGATTTCTTCAACTGAGTTGGCAGAATGTGAGAAGATTTAATAGCACTTTTTACTTTCATGAGGTCCGAAGTTGAAGGATCTTTAGGGATCGAGCAGTATGGGCCTTCATTTATCAATTTAGAGACTCCAGTAATATATGTGTGTTTGTCCATAACAACGATCTGTCCGCCCTTATCAGCTTTAGAGATAATGATATTAGTATCAGAATGAATTTCACGTAAGATCTCATTTTCCTTTTGCTAGATTAGAACCCAAAGATTTATTGTTAAAATTAACGTTATGAGTAATTAGGTGGCGGATTGTATCCTTCTGCGTTTCGGAAATTTTGGAGAATTTAAAGGCTTTCTCTATAGGGCCGATGATTTGAGGAATTGAAGGTTTAGATGTCTTTGAAAAGTTGAAATTATAACCACGTGCAGTGCAGATAAGCACCACGTGTTTCTGTGATTCCTATTTTCTTCTTTCTATGTATTTCTTTCTCCTGATGAGGAGGGACCTTTAGCTGCCCTCGAAATCGATTGAGTGTTTCATTATACCTACGCTAAATATAAGGTTGTTTTTTACGATTTTGATTGTCACATTAGCGTGTTTCTCTTCTATTCTAGTCAAGTTTTTTATTGTTAATGTGCACATTTCTTGGTCTAAAAAACGCTTTCAGACCTCCAAAAATCTGTAAAATTCTT